ATCCTAACTGAGGTTCTTTGTTTTCCTCAGTCCTTCCAGCAAACGCAGGGATAATGCCAAAAGTTAGACCAACTCATTATTAGTAAATCATCCCGTCATTTAATGCTACTGATATTGTCATTAATAAAATAAAATATTAAGTATCGTACTTAAGTAGATTATAACCCCAAAATGATAATCCATGAGGTTAAACTGCATGATACTAGTAGACTGTAAACTTGTATAAAGTAAATGTAACATTAATGACTCAAGATCTGTAGACCAGAAGTCGGTACAATAGAGAAGCTGGTCCAATGAGGACGCGCTTGAGCACCTAGATATAATACGATGTCAGCAACGGGAGTGGGCGGTCTGGCGAAGGTGGCACTGTTATTTTTAGAGGGTACGTCTCATCAAATGGGCATGCCTTACACCAGAGGATGTCACATAAACCTGGACTACATTATTTCCTGCGATTGTTCCAACGGACTGAGTACTGCGAGCAAACTCTACCCCCAACAAATGCTGCACACTACAGAATAACTACGAGTACAAAGTCGATATCTATCCACTTTCGACGTCCTTAGCGTCTGTACTTAAAATATAACGCCGTACCTATCATGTGGTTAACTCTTGATTTGTACCGTGGAGGTCTTGGGTTAGAATCTTAGCTCTGAGGCCTAGGTTATTTCTGAATTTACTTAGTCTCTGTAGAGTATTTTTGCAGTAATACGTTAAAATTACGTATCACTGCTTCCTTTCACGTCATTTCTACTTCATCAAGAAACAAACACAAAATGTAGTGCAAAAAACAATGCATCGGAAGTATCCTAACTCTTTTGATGCTTCGCACGAGTTACATCGGTTATAAGAATCGTTTCTTCAAGTCTACGTTTATTTCATGTCTGAGAATCTCGGTGATACGAACGTGTACCAGTATCTCATAAGAAAGTAAATTATACGTAAGAACGGAAAACGATTCTGTTAAACAGAAACCAGCATGAAGGTACATAGATGCACGGCTTTTGCATGTTGCCGTCAAAGAAATATTTAAATTCATATAAGGAACTCACAAAGAGCAAATGGTGATTTAAAAAATGATTACGAACCAACACTTGTCTATTATATTTTATTTATTTATTTAGTGTTCTGTCTGACGACAGGTCCATATGAACAGGATCCTTCCATCCTTTTCTCGGACTGGTACCTGTTCATATACGTTCTTGGCATGTTCCCCCTCCCCCCCCCCCCCCCCCCAAGGTATGACGTTGGCGAAACGCACGGTTGGGTACCGACTACTGTACATTTGTTTTTAACTGTATACTTGTGTCGATGGTAAAACTTGGTGTGGTATTTTTACAACAGCAAGTGTCCTGAAATTTTTTTATTTTTATTTTTAGTGTTCTGTCTGACGACAGGTCTATATGAACAGGATCCTTCCATCCTTCTCTCGGACTGGGATCTGTTCATATACGTTCTTGGCAGATGCTCCAGAAGTGGTTTGCCATTGCCTTCTTCTGTGTGTGAGTGGAGTAATTGTTGGGATGCCCCGGAGAAACCGGGGAAGCCCCCGGAGGAAAACTCCGTGTTGCCTAGACCACGGCCTTGCCCAACACAAGTTATAAATTCGGGCACCGCCGGGAATCGAACCCGAGACCCCCAGGAATACAAGGCCAGCGTGCTGCTGCACAAAGAACTCAAACCATCTTAATGTTTACATTTTTATTATTACTGCTATTATTATGTTATTTTGTCATTAACAATATTCACTTTACAGTATTGTTCTGTATGTATTAAAAGGGAATTAAATGCAATGTTTTCTCCTCTCCTACCAGGAAGAAATTATGATAATAATGACGTCAGAGAGCTTGTCACAAATTAGCTGAAGGGGTTCTTACTACGTGCTTCCAGAAAAGTGCTTTGTTCGTTCTGAGATTTTATCTCTCATCTCCTCTCTTTCTGCTCTGTTAAGGGAGAAATGAGAGAAGATCTTGTTGACAGTTAAGATGAAATGCTGAACTCCGCACAAAATTGTAAGTCCCTCTGAAACAGCGCACTGGTAAATTCGTTTAAAGTCGCATAACATTTCGCGTCAGCGAGCAATAACTATTGCCGAAGATTCGCTTTTCAGATACAAATTGGAGCATAGAAGGCAGTCGAGCGAAATAACACCAAAAAATAGGAGCAGAAATCTTCGCGAAAAGGAAAGAATACTGTCACAAAATGTACAGAGTCAAAGAGAAGTCGAGTGGTGCACAATTTAAAACACGACCAAATAACATCAACGTCCTAAGGTACAATGACGAAATCAGAAGCAGGTCGGCCTCCGTACAACAGACTTTAACCACTCTGACGGTCCTCTGACTCTGTTGTGAGACGCTTAAATTTCATGTAGTAAACTAAAGATCGAACGTTTCGGCATCTCGCAAGAGTTTCATTCTTGTAAAAATTCAAAAAGAATCTTCCTGAACCACCATTATTCGTGGCGATGGTGTATTGTTAATGAGACAGACATCGCTGGTTAGAAGCAGATAGCTTTCAGGACAACTTTTCATTGGAGAGGGAAAAAAACTACAAAAAGAACAACGCTAATTTAATTAAACTACCAGCAGCAGGGGAATTCCATTTCGTTGAAAGAATTGCAGTTTTATTCCATCTTCTTTGTCAACAGTTCTGTACATTGTCTCGTAAATTCCGGTGAATTCCACATCTGATTAAAGACAGTTTCTTCTAAAAACGCATATATTACAAAGAATCCGACCACGATTCGAAAATAAATCATGAGTGATTCCTTATACGCTGTGTGTCCTAAGAAGTTTGAAAACAACCCTTCAGTAATATTCACCAAAACTTAAGAAAACTGAACCAGTCATACGTATAATACGTATGTTAAATGAATCTTTTGTCTACACGGCATCGTACGTCGTCAACTTGCTAACAGAAGAGGTGACCTCCACATATGGAAGGTAGCTACGAATATTTGAATAAACAGTCGTGAACAACCGGTAAGGAGTAGCCATCATGTGGTCCATTCATAATAAGATTTTGCGCATGACCGGTACAGATCTCATTAACGATTACAACTTTTCCGAAACACCTTTCGACATGGTAATACCTTATACAGTACGTATGCCTAATACTTCTTTACTTTTGTGACGCCGAACGTCGCGTCTGAGTAGTTAACACCCCTGCTTCGTAATCGGGAGGTCCCGGGTCCAAATCTCGTCCCGAGACCAGCTATCCTGGCTGAGATGTCTCATGTTTTCTTACGTCCATCAATCAAAATGCCGTGATAGTACCACAAAGTACGAAATTTCATTAGCCTATTAATTAAACATCCTATAATTCGTAGTGTGAGTTATTGACGGGGTCCGAAGTGGCCGCGCGGTCTGAGGCGTGTGCCTTGTGCCGCTTGGTCGCTGGGA